TCATTACAAGCACGGAGGGCCAGGAACATCAAGTCCCCACAGCTGACCAGGTACCTCCATAATAAATTTCCCATCTTTGTGCTTTTCTTCTTCTTATCCTTATTCTTATTGGATAAGGTTAGAGTGGGCAACAATGAGAGACTGAGTTTAGAAGGCTCTTTTCTCTCCAGACTGCAAATTTACCAGCTTGCAGATGGACATCTCTTACCTGAAAAACTCAAAGGAAGCTGTTGAAGTGGCTTTCAGGAATGGAAAAATGGGGATATGGGCTTCATTTTGCTCTCCCTTCAGTTTGGTAGGTCTGTGGGAGATGGCTGTGTGACAGGTAAAGAGATGAAAGCAGCAGTTTAACATTAAAAAAAGATGTTGGCATTTGTGAAGTTTCTTGGTAACTTTATGGAAAAGGCAGGAGATGCCAAGAGAGCCTTGCTCACAGCGAGCAAACTCGAGTGGCAGGTGGCATCCTCTGCAGTGAAAGTGGCTGCGTGGCACTCAGGAATGACTGCACTTCTAGGCAGAGCTTTGCAACTTCACAAAGATCACAAAAGTTAGAAAGAAAGAAAATAAAAAGGGCAACATGCAGGTAATGATGATGGCTACTCCATGCACAGGAGAACCAGGGGCCATCCCAGGCTGATGTCCAGGGAGGCAGTAGTGTAACTTTCCATGTTTTTTTTCTCTCTGGTGAACTGGGCACTCAGCTACTGAGGTGGGGAAATCATCTTAATGTCAATTTCAGTACCAGAGAGAGAAGGGAAAAAGCTCAGCTCTCATTGCTTCTTTTCCTGGCAGAGCAAGATCCGGTATGTGGACAGAAGTGCTATTGTTGAGTGGGATATAATTGCTTCCAATGGGATAATCCACATCATTTCAGAGCCTTTAAAGGCTCCATCAGAACCTGTAAGTGCATGGCGATTCAGGTTTTTGGGGTGGTGAGAGATAACTCTCTTATTTTACCCTAAACTCATTGCTGACATTTGTATATTCCCAGTTTCCCTGGCATATATGCAGCTTTCAGCTTAAAAGGTTACTTTCAAAGAGAATTAGAAGTTGAAAACAAAGTACCAGTGATAGCAAAAATTTGTCTGAACAATTTCTTCCCACAGTTACAAATTTGTTTTCTGTATGTAAAATAATGGAGCTCATGTACGTAACAGATTTTTAAAAGCTCCATTTTAGTTCTTCCACTTTAAAGCTTTTAAGGAACCTTGTTTACTCTTGCCTTGGCATTCATTCCTATCCAAAACAATGTTTTGAACATAGATACCTTTTGCCTGCATGAATTCCTGCAAATTCTCCCAGTTACCCAGCTGTCTCCTTGGTCCACAAGGTTTCGTGATGGGCTTGGTAGTGCTGGGAGAAACAGATGGATTCAATCATCTATTTCCACATAAACTTTTCTGTAATTCTATCAAAAGGCCACATTCAAATGTCTCTAAGGAACACCTAGCAGGAATCCCAAGCACAAGGACCATAGCATATCTCAAAGGGACACTGCATGTTCTTGGGTGCTGTAAGCTGACCAGTGCCCACCCAGAGCTCACTCACCCTCTTCCCTTTTTCCAGGCTCCTCTCCATGCCAGTACTGGGACAGGAATATTCTTTGGCATCTGTCTAGTTACTGGAATTATGGCTCTGATTGGATACTCTTACCTCAGGTTCAGGAAGAACAACATCAGCTTCCAGCACTTCAAGGTAGGTGGCAGTGGGGAACACAAAGCTGGGGAGGGGAGGGACAACTGCACTTCTCAAATTCATAACTTTCAGTTTCTCCATACATTTGGTTAAGCTAGAAACATTCCTGATCACTTCACACTTGAGCTGCTCAGACTGAGACACAGACAAAGGGGGGAAGGCTCACACCTTGCCTTGGACAGGGGTTCACATTTGAACCAGACCCCTCCAGCCAAATCTCTGCTCACACAGACACTTCCTACACCAAGGACTGGCCCAAAGCTGGTTTAACTGCCCCACAGCAGTGCAGAAGCCTTTGCCTGCCCAGAAACTCACCCTTAGGGAAGTGAGGAATTACAACCATTGAAGGGCACCTGTTCTCCTCGTCTATTTCTATCAATCTGGAGGTTGAAACATTTCATAGGAAAAAGACCAGATCCAACAAACAAACTGAAATGCCTGTAGGATTGAGAAGTGCAGGTTTTTATACTGATGCACTTCCATGCTTGATTTCTCTTAACTAATTTTGCTAGCAACAGATAAATGCAAGACCAGTCAGCAACAACTAAGCTAGAGAAATGAGGGATGAGGAAAAAAATGTTACAAAACATACAAGAACATACCTGAAAGAAAGTCTACCTAGAAGCAAAGTCCATTCCTGTTCTACTCCCTGCTGGTACTGTGAATCATCTTGTAAAAACAAAACCCAGCAGCCAAGAGCCAGAGGAAACACTTAGATTTTTAAATAGTTTCAAAGAGAGCCCTCAGGACTAACCAAGTACTTTTTACCCCAAGCACTGTTTCAGGGCCACACTTCCTCTCCCATTTTTTGCTGAGGCTTAAAAATAAGAAGGGAGAGGAAAAAAGATACCAATTTAAAGTGACCTGAGATAAGGCAACAACCAAAACCACAGTTCATGCCCAGAGACAGATTTAGACAATAAAGCCAGTTGAATCACAACAGTGCACCAGCTGGTAGAGAGGCTCAAGTGCCCCATTTAATGCACTGGGGGAAGAGGATGAAATTTAAGCAAGTTTGTGTGCTTTTGTGTAGTCCAAAGATGACACTGACACAACACCACTGGACAAGCCACAGCCTTCAAATATTACCAACCCTTCATATGAAAGTTCTTCAACACTGACCTCACCAGAACCTACTTATGATCTTTTCTCAGTAAGTATTCATTTTCATTTGAGATTGAGACATTACCAATAATATAATGGTAGGAGGGAATGACTTTATAAAAGAGAAATGTCTAGCTGGAACAGAAAAACAAATTCAAGAAACCAGCATTTGAGTTTCTGGCTTTCCTGTCTCCCCCCTGTTTGAAATTGGGTTGCATCACCTGTAGTAAAATTGAAGCTGTGGTCAAAAGCTGCATCTCAAGGCCATGTTCAAAGACAGCTGAATTAAACTGGACTTCACATGACACTGGATGACAGTGACACATCCATGAAAACTTAAAAAGCCTTCTAATTTTGTCTTCATGTCTGCTTGCTACAAATGCAGCTGAGAGCCACGCTAGCACTCCAAAGACTCTGAAACCCAGCAGGGAGGGGGCTGGGAATTCAGGGAAGGAAGGATTGCACCCTCATGTATGTGCAGAGTCTAAAATCAAAATGCACCATTTTGCATTCAGTAAAAGGACTTGTTTGGTGCAGAAATGGCAGGTGCCAACTCTGCCATCTGCATGGACAAATTTGCCAAAATGTTACTTTTGTTTCTTAATGGAGTGTTCAAGTCTGATTTTCTTTTTATTCTATTTTTTAGGATTCAGATGACCAACAGCTTGCGATGAGTGGTCCTTATGATCAGAATTAGAAAGTGAATTTGGCATTAGTCATCTAATAAACATTTTTATTTACACTTACTGTGAAAAAAAGAGCACCTACGTTACAGGGAATAAAATCTTGTTACAAATTAAAACCCAAATGAGCACATTTTTAAGATGCCTTCTATATAGCTCACAGAAATACCAATTTTGGAAGCGTTGGCTGAATCTGAGCAGTGCCAACTATAAGTGCCAAAAGCAAAACTGAGTCCCAACTAACCCACCCAGAACAGACACCTCTCTGGGAAAAGCAGCTGATTTTCATTCACCTGCTTTTTAACTGCTTTTCTTTTCCTTTACAGACTTTAAAATGGCCACAAAGCACACAGGGCTGCTAACTTGGCAAATATCCTAAATTTTCTAGTACTGCAGGCCTGTGCTTTCATTTTGGCTCAGTTACAATTAGAACAGGCAAGTGTGAAACAGAACATGTGGTAAACTTCTATTTTTAAACAGAGGGGATTTTTTTGGCTGGTATACTTTCCTGTTAGATAGTCAGCAGCAGGAAACACAGCCATCCTGACTGTCCCCCTTGCCTCCTCCAGCTTCTCTGTCTTTCCTCAATCTTGGCTTGCTGTTTGCTTTACATGTCACCTCACTGTCCAAAGGGAAGCAGTAATTGAGGCAGCTTCAGTAAGAAATGCAGATGATGACTAGTTGGAACAGGAAAATAAATTCAAAAAACCAGTATTTGAGTTTCTGGCTTTCCTGTCTCCCCCCTACTTGAAACTGGGCTGCCTCACCTGTAGTAAAATTGAAGGTGTGGTCAAAAGCTGCATCTCAAGGCCAACTTCAAAGACAGCTGAATTAAACTGGACTTCAAATGACACTGGATGACAGTGAATATGTCCAAATGAACCATTTTTGTGCAAAGTGGACTGTGAGGATGAACATCCCCTGGCCATGTAATGTCTATATTCAGTTCTTCAGGCCTGAAGGTTCTTCACACACTCTTTTTACCAAGCACAGCAGCAACAGCTGCCACTGCCACCACACACCATTAGAGGCAGATCAAACTTGAGTTTGATTCAGTGTCACCTCTGTCCATCAAAATATTAAGTATCATAATGAGAACATGAAAAAAAAACCCCACAAAACAGCAAGAAAATAAAGGTTTTCTTTCTGGCAGCAGTGACATCCTCCCAGTCTTTGGGGGCAGGAGGGAAGCTCAGGGAGGAATTCCCTCAGAACAAGGCAGGGGGCAAATCCAGTGTTGCTGATGCAGCTATAAAGGGCAAGGAAGGAAATGTAACATGTAAACACAAATTCATCTGGATGAAACAAACATACAGTCAATTTCCTCAACTTCTCCCTTCATCCCCCTACACAGGTCTGCTAGTTTTCACAGACTAGAAAATCTGGAACCCAAACACACTTGAACACACATCTAGGAGAGATTTCCCCACAGAATTTTGCAATCAATACAACTCATGTTCTTTCCTTCTCCCTTCTCCCCAGTCAATCAAAATATTAAGGCTCACAGAGACCAGAAGATAAAGTCCAAGCATTTATTTTTTGTAATAATCATTAAATATTTTTATCACCAAAAAAATAAAAGCTCCACAACTCATTAATCTCTTTTTTACTGACAGGTTATTCAGCTCTGTGTTTTTGATAGACCAGAACAAAAACTTTTTCTTGCTTTGGTGTTCAAATTAACCATGTTCCCAAAATTAGTACAGAGACACTGCCCATTAAACATGCCTAAAAATCTCTTTGAAATCAGTAGCATAAGGTTAAATTGAGCAATGCAGAGAGTGACAAGGTGAAATCATTAAAAAAATGCAAGACATTTTTAAAAGGTACAAAGCAGCACTTTAGCACTGAAAAATAAATAATACATTTGAATATTCTCACTTAAACTTATATATAGTTGGGTTATTTTAAAGAAACATAACCCTTCAATAATTAACTTTTTTCATGCAACATTTTTTATTTCAACGAGTCATGCAATATAAACAGTATTTTACTTCAGCTGGCTGTTGCAACATTGCGTGGTAGAGGAGTTTGATTTCTAACTTAAGAGAAAGGAAAGGTGAGAGACGAAAATCTTGGAACAAAACATGCATTATGTGTATAATATAACCATCTAAGTCAATTAAACTGCCCCTGATTAACACAGGATGAATGTACAGTGGTTTGGGTGTGTCTTTTTTTTTAAAAAGTGCATTGAAATCTCTGGAGCATGAGAAGTGCTCCACACACATAACACCAAGTTCAGTCAAAGCTGAGCATTACGATAAAGAACTGAAGGCAAATCAGGATATTTCTATCTTCATATTTCATTATCAGGTATGCTAAATATTTCTTGTACAGCCCCACCAAGTCAACTCCTGATGAGCTGCAGTCAAACTAACTTCCTGCAACGTTACCTTTTTATTCCAGCAAAACCATCAGGACAGTCAGATCAACTTACTCATTTCAAGTATATTCATCTGTTTAAACATAGGGGTTTATAAATCACACACTTCTGTCAAGTTTGAAATAGGAGTATAAGAAAATCATAAAATCTAAACCACCTCTGAGAACTTCGTACTGATTTCAAGCATACAGGAAAACTACTTACAAAATTGTGCAGGCTAAATTACAGTACATTCTTTACTTTGCAAACATGCTTTTAAAAACATGAAATATACTGTATATGAAATTCAATCCAGGTACTTGCACATACAGACAGGTTAAAAAACAAACAAACAAACCAAACCAGAAAACTTTTGGTCAACAAAAGTTTGTTTGCCTGCAATCATGATAGAAAGCAAGTGATATCCCAAAATGAATACCAAATGCTGTATGTTTTGTTAATCACATGCTTTTAAAAACCAAGCCTTTATTAATTAAAATTTGAAATTATTAATTATATTATGCCTTCTAAAGTGGCTGGGGTGGGAAGCACCACTTTAAAAAACAAACATTTCCTTTGGATTCAGAGAAAGGAAATAATTCTTATTTAAAAACAACTATATAGCAGTTCTATAAAGTGCCTCTTTGAGGAAATACATCAACAGATGTTTTCCTTGTGCAAAATAGACATTTTTCAGCTCAAATCTTTGAAACACATATGCTACCCAGAGTTCATGTTCATGCATTACCTTCAATATCAGTAATTCAATAAAACTTCTAATCTATACCAAAACTATTTTTCTTTATTCAAAATGTGTACCACTCCTAATTTAGCTTTCAGGGCTTGAGCTAAAACCATGTCATCAGAAAACTCTGGGTTTCTCATTTCTTAATTCTTCCTCTAAGTTCTTTTCCCATTGTGCGTGTTTACTTTTGACTCTACAAGTCTATTATGAAGGCTATATGAAATACATTCTCTCCTAGGGAACAGCAAAGCCACATTGCATACCACTGGAATAAGACACTGTTTAAAATCTTTAAAAGCAGCATTTAGGATCAAACTAAAGCTTGATAGAGAGATCTGTGTGCACTTTGAAATGCAAAACCTCTTGAAACTATTATTATTGGAGAGTGGATACTTGAAGTGTTCTGAAACTCAAAAAAAAAGGTACCTAAAAGTTAAGAGAAGGAAGCTGAAGCAGCCCAAGCTACTGCAAGTTTCCATTTTAGGCTCAGGTCCACCTGCAGCCAAGCACAGACATGGCAAGAACAGAAACTGCACAGACAGGAGAGAGAGAGAGAGAGAGAGAGAGCCCAGGAGCCTAAGCCCAGTGCAGCAGAGCCAGGGCACTCAGCCCTGGGCCCCTCACAGCTAAGGCTCCGTCTGTAGCAGCAGGGAAAGGTAAAAAGTGTGACCGTCCTTCTCAGCCTCACCCTAAGCTGGTTACTAACCTGTATCACTGAATTACTAACACTGCATTGAAGCTCTTCCATGCCACAATTCACTGCAGGCTCCAGCTGGAGTGCTGAAAAGGGGCAGAAGAGAGAGTCCTGGTATTTCTTGGTAAACCACAAGGCTGCAGATCTAAGTTTTCAATGAACAAGCTAAAACAACCACCTCAGAACAGCAGCAGTCCTCTCCCTCCTGGCCTACCACTAGTTTGGCAGTCCATCTCTTCTGTGTGTAAGAGGAGTTTTCACATGTCTGAGCAGGAGAGGAAAAAACCAAAGCTTATGAGAATAAGTATGAAATACATATAAACTAAGGTAACAGATTTAAGTGGCTTAAATAAAGTACAGGTACATTCAAGAAAACCAAAGATATTTGTCCATTTTAAAGAAGAGCCACCAAGAGTTTATTTGATCTGAACTGTCTCTTGTAGGAAAGGTATTCTGAATGTACCAGTGCACAGCTGGTCTGACCAGCCAGGAAGTTCATGCTGCAAAGGAGTCCTTCTTGGATAAAAGGTGTAATCAGGTTCATAGTTCAAGAGACAGCTCAGTGATGCCATGTAGATATCTGCAAACCTAGAGAGACGTCTCAGGAAGTAAGTTGGATTCTCATCCGTTCTGAATATGCTTCCAAAGTGTGAATTGAAGAAGTTCCTGTTCATCTCCCTGTCCCCCAGAAAGAGAAAACAAAGACAGAGAAGTGAACAGACCTGCACACATCTCTTCACCAGCTGGCAGCCATAACCTGAAGCAAGCAGATCCTAAAACCTGTTCTATACATTATTCTCTTGCCACTGTTCTTCAAAACAATAAAATGTGCTACAGAAGTTTTTCCCCTCTTGCACATATACAGCCCAGGTCTAGAAATCACAACTGTGGCCTTGAAAACTGTGCAATTCACACCCCCTGCATTTAGGGATTTCTCCTTCATAATAATAGATTATTAGGAGTTCTAGCCTTATTACCTAACTTTGTGATAAATCCCTGCTAAATCTAAGCAAGAGCAGAGCTCAATTTCTACGTATTCTAAGATGTATTATGAAAAATCTGCAGAAATCATGTAAAATTCCTGGTAAAGTGACCTAAGCCTTGGAAAAGAAACACAGTTTTTATTTGTGCAGAAGCTGTGTAATCAACAGTGACAGCTGAACACAGAGAGAAACAGAAGAATCAAAGTGAGAGGGAAAGGGATTTGAGGGGATGTTACCTTTTCACACAGAAAAGTTACACCTGTTCTAAAGACAGGGAACAGGCAAAAGGGTCCATATGTACAAAGTGTCAGAAGGGAGAAGAGCTGCACAAGAGACAGGCAGAATATTGCTAGAATTATTTTATAATATGTGTAACTGCCAGAGTCTATAAATCAGGGATGGAAAGAAATTGCAAAGAAACCTGTGGAAGATATTGCATAGAACCCTTAGCTACCAAAGCATATTGCAAATTCTTCATTCTCTGTGTCTTACCTCATTTCCTTTCTTTCCTTCTTCCATTCTTCTAGAATCATTTGGGAATCAGGATCACGGTGAACCTGAAATGTAAAGTATGGATAACCTGTAACTAAAGATAACTCTATAAATAAACCTTTCTATTAATAAATCCTTATCAGCCAACAGGACATGAGAAATAATTCAGAAATCAGTACACAGAACTTATCCAGGTGAATTTTAAACAGCCAAAGTCAGGAATTGATCCAGGCTGACCAGTGGAGAAAGAGGACAAGATGTTGTGAAAGCTCCTATTAACTAACCACACGAATAATTACATTTATTTCCAGTCCAACTCTTCAGGGAGACTGAAAGCATTTGCAAACATCAACGTCCAGCATTTAGAAACTTGGCTGGATCCCTCTGGCTCTCCCAGAGCTGATTACACACACAGAGAGCACAAACCTGCATGTGTTCCAATAATCCTGTCAAGGTTTGCAGCCAGGTCATGGTTTGAATGTACTTCTCTGTGTTCATGATTTTAATCTCCGATCGTAACTCTGGAATAATCGCTCCAGTGCGCCAGCCGTGCTTCAGGGTCAAGTCCTGTTTACCAGGAATTACAAAATACAGATATTAGTCTTAAGAAGAACTACTTAAAAAAAAAAGAATCTGACTACTGTTTATCCCAAAGCAGCACCAATTTAATTGTTTTTTTATGTACAAACAGAAGTATGAAACAGTGGGACTGAACTGTGCCAATGGACAATAGAATTTAATTTCAGCTTAAGCATCAAATCCTACATTTTTGAAGGGAGAGAGATGAAAAACACACAAGTACTTGCAAATAAACACTAATTCATTAGGTTTAAAACAAACAGCAGGAAATGCCTCTGTAGATGAGAGCTCTGCTGCTGCCAGCAGTACCTGGAGGAACTTTGTGCTGGGTTTGTGCTGGTTATCCTCACACCCAGCTGACAGCAGCCCCAGCTCCTCAAGCTGCTCCTGACAGGTACAACACAAGGCAGCAGCCACTTGTGGTCTCCTCACCACTGTGGCAGAGTGGAGCAGACCAATGTTACTGTTCTTTTTAAAAGCAGATTGAGGAAAAAATTTTAACATCTGCTGCTGTTGAAACATCTTACAAAAGTTTGGAGTGGAAAAGTCACATCCAAGCATTCAAAAGGAATCAACCACCAAAGAGCCCAGTGGTGGTCACTTACCCTAAGGTAACAATTAACAAAGCATTTGTTCATAAGGTGACAAAAAAAAAAAAAGCCTGGAGAGGGGGGATACAAATCAGAGCAAGATCTTGGGGAGAACATTCATAATTAGTCACAGGAAGATTGACTCCTGCATTCAAAACAGAAGTTCATTCAGCTGTCATCCAAGTCAGGCATATCCTGTACATTTGGAAATCTGTGTTTACTCTCTAGCACATCTGACATAATCAGTATCTGGATCAGAAATACAACCTCACACATTCCTGACCGCAGTTAGTAAACAACTTAAATGCTACAAGTCAGGTGGAAAATATGGTTGGCATTTTACAGCAGCAAGGTTACTTGTTGGAAAAAAAAAAAAAGGCAATATGGCTTAACAATCAAATTTTGTTGTATTTTAAAATATCAAATGAAAGTGTGCTACATTGAATAACTGCAGAGGAAGAGAGCAAAACTAACAGAAAGCCTCTGTTAGTTTTTTCTCTGATTTTGGGAAAGCAAACTACTTACTGCCAAGTCACTGTATATGTGGTCACCAAAGTAGAGAACCTTAGAGCCTCTCCAGCCAGTAAGCTTCAAAAATTCATACAAGTTACCCTGCAGAAATAATGACATGGACATTGTAGAAGCATGTGACTTGCACCCTCACAAGCATGAAAAAGGAACTTAGTACAACACTAAAAACATTTCACAGCACAAATCTTGTCCTCAATTTATACACTATGAATCCCAAATTTTACAGGTGATTTCAGTGATAGCAGCACCTCAAGAGACAATGACATACAATACCAACAATGAATCGGTACAACTTCAGACATTAAATAACTCTCTTAAAGAATGCATCCGCATTTTAGAAACCTTTATATCCAAAGAAGCTTGAGATTCTAGGAAATAGGTATGAAATTTCAACATAGAGAGTCTGTTGAAAGCATACCTGTTTGTAAATCTGGCCTTTCTGCAGCTTGTGAATTTTGTCCCAGAGCAAGACTCCCCTTTCAGTCACCTTCCGAAATGGTCTAGGATAGACATGCAATTGTTATGTTGCTGTAGGAACCCTGACACTTCTTAGGCAATTAAAGCATTAGTACTAAAAATATTCCTCTCTCAAAAGGAAAAAAAAATCTCTAGCATCTGAATTTTGTAAGAGAAAAAGCAAAACTCCAAAACTTCCACTTCAACCCGTGAAAAGCAATGTAACTTTCCAGTATACTTATGACATTTATAAACAAATTTTGAGAACAACTGCTGCGAAGTAAGGCAGGGACCCCAGGCAGAAGGGAAGAAACAGCATCAGTTGTCTGCAACTAAGGAGGAGAGAACACAGAAAAATAGATGTGTAAAACTCTTGCCCAATCCCTCAGTTTGCACACCTGGACAACTGAAAATGAGAGAGCACAGGACTGGGGCCAAGACATATAGCAAAAAAATTTTAAAAATTAAATGCAAAAAGTAAAGGGAAAATAATCCCATCTCCCTCTATCTCACTTTCAAATCATAAGCACACATAGAGGAACAGGTCTTTTTCAAGGGCATACACATTAGAGATGTGTTTACTTAATCATAACTAGTCCAAATATTCCAGTCTGTCAGCCAGCCAGATGTCTTTTAAATATCATGTGTGAAGGAAAAAAAAACCAAACCCAGAAGCAATGGAAGACATTTCCAGATAAGGGTCTGATGTGAAAGGCATCAAGACTTCTCAGGCTTATAAGGAAAGAAGCACATTTCAACAACATGCAAGTAAGTTTAAAATGCTCTAAGTCATTCCAGTACACCTGTGACAGCCCCTACAACTATCTTAGCCAAAAAAGTGTAAATACTTAGACTTCAGCATTGGATGTTGCTGCATTTTGTAATGACTTTACCCAGGATTTCAAATATGATTTTATTTTACATTGCAGCCAAAGGAAAATATTTCCTAACACACTCTATAGCCTTATATGGAAGAGCTGCTTGAATTATTCTTTCCTGACTAAACACCCACCTTCGCTTATCATTGAAAAAGTTTGGTTTTTCAGCCTGGACAATGACCACATCAAAGAGATCCCTCCAGTCCTTGCCAACGATGAACTTCATGCCTTTGTCTCTAAAAAGAACACAGGAATATTAACAATTAACTGTAGCAAAGTGAAGTTGCCTGTGCAATAAAATGAATTATTTTCTTCCCCATCCTTTACAAATGCATAGTTAAACAGCAAACAACTGCTCACATACACAAAGCTGCTGGGACTGTTTGTGATGAGAAACATCTTCTTGCCATGATCAGCCAGCTTTGCTAACACTGCACGAGTTTGTTCAGCATAGCAGATATATTTCTCTGTGAGGATCGGGGAAAAGACAGCATTAATTGAGAAAACTCTTGTGAAAAACTGAATGCATTCAACCAAGGTTATACTTAAAACACATCTTTGACAAGTGAGAATAAGTTTTTCAAACTTTAAAAGTTTAGAATTTGTAACCTTTAAATATGGAAGACAGAAAAATCATACACTATCAGTAAAAAAAGCCTTAATAGATTATACCATCAGTACTTACCAATATCTGCTTCAATTGCTCTGTACATTATTCCTTTGATATGAACATCCCTGATTGAATCCTGTGAGGAAAGCAATGAGCAGTGAAGAACTTCATCTTTTCAAATGTTCACTAAATAGCAATAGTAATTTGTCTTTAAAACAACTCATTTCCCAACACTTCCAATTTTACAGAGATGTCATGTTCAAAATAATTATATATATATATATATATATATATATGATGTCACCACTAGACAAAGGCTAAGCTTCTCTTCTGAGAAATAAACTTCATAATTTTGTGAAGTATAAAATTATATTGCAGAGGGGCTCTTTTACATAACTGTGAAAGGGTGAAGTGAAAGCCCTCTGCAGAAGCAGAGTCATCACAGATTTCCAGTGACCTTTGGAGCAGAACACATTCCTTTCCCCTTACAAAAAAAAAAGTTGTACATCTGACACATTTTAGATTACAATCACTCACAAATGCTCTGATTATTTACATAAGAAATTTATGAACAGATGAAAGAAGTTAAATGTTAGAACAAAGTATTTATAAGGCACTCTGGAGGCATTTAACAGCTCTCCTGAGCCAGCTCTGCACCAGACAGCTTTGTTCAGAACAGTGGTAATGCCATTTTGCTGCTTACTCAGGGTACGGCCTCAAATCCTCAAAAAATACCACTAGAGGGTTTCCAAAATGCTTGTAATGCTGAATAGCACAGAAATTTCTCTACATGCCTCAGAGGAACCACAAGAATTGTCCTTCTCTATGTTACATAACATGACATGAGATTATCTCCTCTGCAGGACACATGCTGAGGAATCAGGAGGGTCAAATTACTCTAGACTAGGACTAGAGCTTATCTGGAAGAGGAAGAGAGGTCATAGGGAAAAGAGATAGTTCAAAAGTATGAGATAGCAAATGATTGTACACTAGCCAAAATGAAAGCTCCAAACTGGAATTCCCCATAGCCTCTTACACTACCCCATAACCTAGTAATTCCCTGATGGTGAGAAAAAAGATATGTTCAACAACAATCAAAAGAACTTCTATCACCTTACAAGATCTTCTTCACTTCTCCTATTCACCCCTCAAACCCACAAAAAGAGCAAAAGTCCTAGAATGTCAGCTTTCAAACCAATTGCAGTCTATTCTCTTCCAAACTCTACCTTCATTTTACTTACATTTTTATGGCTGTATATCCATAATTACTCCATACTAAACCTAAAGTGAGATATTTCATGGAAACTAGCACAGCAGGTGAAAGAGGTGAAAGCTTCCTCAAGTGCTCACAGAAAAGACACAAATATATAAGTTTATCCAAATCTTCAAAGCTTGACATCTACCTTGACATCTTTGTACAGATGAACAGGTTCATAGTCTATGTTGTTTTTCAGAAAATATTCATTCACACAAGAAAGGAGTGTCATTTCTGGCAAGGAAAATATATCCATGAATTGCTTCATTGTATTTCCTTGGGAGCTCTACAGTAATAAGAAGAAAAGGAAAGAAAAAACAAAGTCAGGCATTTCCTAGATTAGAACACTTTCATTTGTTCAGTATAAACACTTCAGCTTAGTAGCAGATATTCAGCTTTTGCCATCCCTCTTCACAGGGCTAAAGACTGTTTTTCAACTAAGACCTTCAATAAAGTTATCTCCAACAAAAGTGTTGTGATTAATTCTTCAAATAAATCCAAATCATTAATTCATAAAAACAAGACAATGCTCAGCTAAAAGCCAAGAGAAGGCCTTCACTAGAAGTCTGCACTTCTGCAAAGGCATCCCACTGGGAATGCCAGAGTGATATTCACAACTGCCGCAGAGACTAGATTCAGGGATTCTAATTTCAGCTCCTTAAAATAAGAACACGTACAAGAACAATAAAATGCTCCACATCACAAAGAAGGGATTTTCATGTCAACATGAAATTAACATCTGGACATTAAAAGGGGTGAAATAAACTTGGCTTTTTAGCAAAAAGTCAGCTTCACCCTTCATTTGGGAAAGGGGAAGCAACCCATCAGAGGAAAAAATCAATTTTATTGGCAAAGTTCAGGATTCAACATGGAAGTTTCATCTTTCACTACTTATCTTTTGTCAAATCCTCTTTGACTCTGCCAGGTTGCATGCAGGAGTTGCCTCCATACATTTACTTGCTGCTGTAGCAGCTAAGCCATCAGACCACCAGGAAAAAAAGAAGTACATGAACCAGATAGGGTTCATTTGCCAGCCTTTATCAGAATCTGTGCAGAACACTGAACAAGTCACTTGATTTTTTGTGTTCCAACACTCTGTCTGTATGACTTGGTAAGGGAACAGTCAGAGAAAAAATACAGCAAGCAAGACAGAGAAAAGTAATTTGTCACTTTAGATGGCAAACTTGACATATACCACTAAAGTCAATGATACATTGAGAAAATATAATTGCTACTTATATAATGAGAACAAAATTTAAACACCACCACCCTCATGCCAAAATAACTCACTCAATTTAAAGATCCATTTAAGGTTTTACCTTTCCATAAAAGTCACTCATTTGCTCTAAAGGGACATGGGAACCATCATACATTGCAATGACTTCTTCATCTGGGACAACACTGAGGCCTCTGGAAAACAAAAATACTTTAGTTCAAAAGTCAGATTAAAATTTTCAAGTAATCACCAAACCCTGACAGATTAACACTTAGATCTGGATCTTATTAAAAGCCTAATAATATCACAGGAACATTTTTGTTTTTAAGTTAAAACAGCACCTTTCCTTACCAAACAAGTAACACTTTAACAGGCTCATGCACACAAAACACATTCCAATTTTAAGTCCTTTCTACTTTCTTATGGGAAAAGAGCTTATAAGTGTCCATTAAGGCTATGCCTCAAGGGGATTTTTAAGAAGTGGTTAGAACTTCCAGTTTCTTAACACAAAGTAATTCCTCACGTTGCCTTTTCTTTTATACAGCACTGATGATATGATAGTGCTTAAATCAGATTATTGTGCAGCATGACCTTGAAGATTTAAGGAAGTGAAAAATATACACAACCTTTAACTAAATAAGAATTTCTTTTTAAATGTATGAACAGTTTAGTTTCCCAAAATTTAAAACTACTTGAAGGATGGTTGACAATTAAAACATTCAAATAAAACAACAAATGGGGAGGAAGGGGATAGCATTTCCCCAGAGTTTATCAACAATTAAGAGAGTACAGGCTTTAGTTTGGTTTTGAATGTTTACAGCATCAAGCATCTTGCATTAAAGCATCTAAAAGACTGCAGGCATTCAAGCATCCTCACCAGAGGCCAAAAAGTGTTGCTATTTTACTCAGGATTAAAAAAACCCACTAATGCAAACCAGATCAGCTGGACTCCTTCTTCCAAACCTACTTAATGATGTTTTGCAGCCTTGTAAAATACACAATTATTTCAATGGCTCCCTTTCTTGGTCTGACCAAGAAGAATTTCCAGCATTAAAATAAAAATAAATTATTTCACAAGCTTAGTGCTTTCAGTGCTCAGAGTCCACACCAGCTTTGCAGTGGAAGGGCATGATACATGAACTTCCTCAGGGCTCCTGTGGTGGCAGAATCCTACATTAACCAGCTCTTTCCCTGCAGTTCTGTCTCCACACACCAACTGGGACACAACTCTGAGCTGCTGCTGGCAGAACTCCAGCATCCAAGTCAGTCTTGTGCACCAACAGGGCAGATAATACTTGGGGTTTGTAACATATAGTGTTCAGCATCACCCCTCCACAGCAGCAAGCACAAAGAAATGCAACCAAAATATAAACCAGATTCCAGAATTGAGGAGGCACCTTCTGGTCTGCAGACAGCTATGCCAAGTGCTATTTGAATACTGCTAGAGAAAACACTTGTGCATCAGCAGATACTTAAGCACAAATCAACAGAGGACAATGTGAAAGCCACAGTGGAGAGATGGCTGCCTAGGCAAAGCTGTAAATTATTTTCACCACAAGTCTCACAGTCCTGACACAGCTCACAGTGCAGCTGTATAACCATAACACATCATCCTGACATCAGCCCTCATGGCCTTCAGCCTCTTTTTTTCCTGCCCTCATCCCTGTACAGGTGTTTGAAGAAACAGCATGAAGTTTGATGCAAACCATCATTTCCAGGTCACATCCCCTTCTGGACCCAAATTTGGGTGTTCTGTCCTCATGGTGGGTGGGGGAACACAACTAGGAGTGCAACAAATAAACCTGGCTAAAAGTCTTTTTGTTCAATGACTTTAAGAAGGGTGGCCTGGCTTCTTGTCTAATTAAAAGTCTGGTACCAAGTGTGGTGCAAGTTTGAATTGGTTGATGTGTCCAAACTTAAAAGCTCTATGCAAACACAGCAGGACCTCTCAAGTGTCTCCACAACCACACCAAAGTCACGCTATCAGGTACCCTGTGATAATTATTTACATAGAAAGCAAGAGCAGAGAAGTCATCAGGGTATTTTTAGATGTCTTTCAGCACAATTTAACAGCCGGAAACAAAGTGAGTCAGCACTATGTGACCAACCAGCTTGCCAATTCTGCCAGGGCTGATCTGGGCAATCAGCTGGGCTGGAGCAGGCACTGGATGTGTACACATCTGTGTGTACACACAGAGATGCAAAGAAAACGCCTTGCAGCAAGGCCACCAGCTCATTCATGGCTATGGGCATCAGGGCACGGGTCCTGGTAAGAATCCAAGCTGTACACTAATAAATGGGGTTAAACGAAACAAAAAGTAAAAGCACACATTGTTATTAGAAAGAAAAAAATAACTTTACCCACCTGTAAACTGTTCCCAGCTGAATGTAGTGAAAAGCATCGATCTTCATTAATAATGCCTTGCAAATAAAAAAAAAAAAATTATCACTTCAACTATTTGACATGAAATTACAAAAGTCAAAGCAATTTTATCTACAACCCTTCTGCCTCAAGAACACCCAAGCACTCTCCTTGCAACTTCCTTCGCAGCTTCCAAAATACCTTCATCAATGCTACTTTTATCTAGTTTTATCCTGTTGCACCCTAAGTTGTCTTTCCTCACCCACCCTAAAGACAAAATGCCCAAAACATGTTTTACTTAAGGGCCATTTCAAAAAATATTTTAATTCTTATTGATTATGTTAATAATAATAACAGTAATAACAATAATAGTAATAATAAAGAATAAAGATTGCTATTAAAGAGAAAAACATGAAACAAAATCCTTACACATCAATGCAGAATGAAAAGTTGAAAGGCTTAAAAGCTCTCTATTTTTTTGGCTAAGTTCTCAGCACTACATAATGCATCACAAAGTTATTTGTACATACCCGGTGCACATCATAGTGAAGCCCTCTGATGGCAAAATTGGGATCATAATCATATTTTCTTATTTCTGCAGGATACTAAGAAAAGAGAGCAATGATTTGATTTTAAAACCATAATGAAAACAATAAAAAATTGTTTCTGAAGAATTTTAAAAGTCCGAGTTTTCTATGCTTCTCATTTGCTCATTTAGGAGCATTTTTCATTTAGGAGTATTTTTCATATGCTGGTGAGATTTGCAGGAACATATGCCTGCAAGACAAGTCAAACATTTTTCCAAAATCCAAGATCATTGTTTTAAATATGAGGTCATCCTGGCATCTAAAGTTGGACATCCAGGTAGTGATCTGTAGTGATTACCTTTGAACATTAGCTTCTTGTTCAAAAAGTTAATTTATTATTAATGCATTCTTCATACATTTAAAAAAAATTAATTTTAGAGATGTGCATTAACTGAATGTCTGTCATATACTCTTCCCTCAGGTTCTTTATATATAGTGTAGGTAGCTCACCCCATTATATGGTGTGAGCTTTAATCTAACACTTTTCAGTACAAGCACATTATCAGACAACTGTAATTTTGTCCTGCTTAAACACAGGTTGCCACAAAAAGAAATGTCAGGTACATGTCTTGGGTTAAGGGTTTTGTTCGCCTGCTTTTAAGGGGTGAAATACTTCAGTAGCTTCAACAAGGCCTGAGAAAACTATAATTTCTTTGATTAAAACATTGAAAGGCAATCCTTCCTTCTCCTCCCCCAGGCTACAGCAGCCTTAGAATCTGACATTGTTTTTCACCCTCTCTACAACAGTCTCCATTCATATATGGATAATTTGCAAGCCTTCAGGGGGAAAAGTGCATTAGGCAGCTTCAACAGAGCCTCTAGCTACTTTATAAGAAATAAACTGTCATTTCCCCCAAAGTTCTTATCTTGCTGAAGAAGACTTGCTCAGCAACTGCTGTGGATTGCATTTGTACTGAGTACAGGCACCTACAGTTAAAGGAAACCGTCCTATCATGCACTTCCAGAAAACGTGGGGCAGGCTACTGATCTGAATGAAGAACAGCATCAAAAGCCTACAGACAGCCTGGAAGAGGCACAGGTTTGGTCAGGGAACATAAAGCAGAGACACAAGGGAAATCATCAGGGAACGATACAGAACTGATCAACTAAAAACTCCCATGCACTGCACGTGCCCCAAAGCAACCACACCAAGCATTTACAATGAAACTGATTTCTGACTTTATCAAATTTCTGCATGCTTGACTTGCTGCTTTAATTTATTCTACTAGAAAGTTGTCTTTTCAGACACATGCCAGTACACATGAGTTTACCCTAGCTTACAAATCAAGGCCTCCTTGCAAACCAAACAAAGAAATGATATTATTTGCTTACCCCACTTTGGGTAGGGAAAAATACAACTGGACTGAAGCAGCAGTACTGATAAAAAGGCATAAGGGCCTGTGCATCAGGAAAGAAATGAACCCAGGAACAAGAGCTTACATAGAACACCTGCTGCCACCTCTGTGATTAGGATTAAATTGCTGTTTATTCTCTTGGACAATTCCTTGCTTCCTACACTGCCTTTTGCAATTTTTCCTGCATTACCTCCCACTGCCATGAGCAAAATTGGCCATCTTTTGGGCTGACTGTGACAGTCATAATTGATACTTTTTCTAATGGTAAAGGCAAAAAAATATATTAACAGTATAAGCAGATAAATTCCAAAAGAAGATGATTCCAATAACCTGTCTCAAACTTCTCATCACCTTTGTTTAGTAGAACTCAAGAGATTTTAACCAAGACAAACTGTAAAGCTATTACTACCCAAATCCATTCAAATAATAAAGGCAGAACACCATTAGAATTTTTGTCTACAAGAATTGATCTTGACTCCTACAGTAACATGGGTTTTTCCCATGAACCACGTAGCTTTAATAAAGTATATTTACACATCCCACAGAAACTGCTATCAACCACATGCCAAAATTGCAAGGGGATAAAGCTGTGTGTGTTTGTAGCACCCATGAAGTTTTGTTTGCTCCTCCAAGGATATTTATAGGTGTTTATAAATAGCTCCTAACCTTTAGATTCAAATATGAAAGTGGAATAACACCACGCATTCAGATTTAGGTTGTATAAAAATACACAGGCAGCTTTATTAACATACTCCATGGACTTTCTGTCTTTGCTTTAAACTGTAGGACTTGCAGGAAAGGAATTTTGCTTCTTTTAGTCCACAGATTTTTTTCAGTCTTTATACCAGGAATACCTTCGTTTTCCCCAACCTGCCATCTCCTTCTCCAGTTCCTGACACATGGGAGCTTTTCCCATCCCCAAACTAGACAAGATGCAGCTCCAAACTGCCTGGATGTCAAGTGGCCACTGCTTGGAGAGGCAGGAGGGCAGTGCCCTGTCCTGAACACTTCCCTGTATCTGGGCCCTGGTCACTGCACACGCTGCCCCTCCAGCCAAGGCAGCCAAAATGCCAGGTACACACAGAGCCCTCAGTGCAATCAAAGCCCTGCTGTGAAGTCCAGCTAAAAATATTTCTCAGGGAAATTAATCACTGCACTCACAGCAAGGGATCAAGCACAGTAATGGGAACTTTTAAGGTTCCTATTTATTAATGTGACTCCAATAAATGACAATCAGGAAGAAACAACAAACTGCACACTCACATGAAAAGATAAGACAAATATAACTGTATTCCTTAACAGACTGTTCTCTGCTCAGAAGTGCAGCTGAGACTAAAACAGGGCTTCTGTTGTGAATATGGAGCTGTTGTACAAAATGTGCTATAAGGGAGACAAGCTGGGACTGAGGCATGAAAAGATGACTCATGCCTCTCAGTCAAAAATCATTTATTATACCCTTTATTCATAAGTGTATTGTTATTCCATTAATTTTACTTACCCGGTGCTCGTTAATAAGAAGATCTCGAGCAGCATTGAATATGAGCGTGTGCAGATGTTTAGAATAAAAGACCAAGGTGTAGTCATAATCAAACCCATAAATTTCAATGTCTGACAGGCTCATTTCATTGTTTGAAAAAATAGCATCTGGGTTCAGCATGTTACTCATAATTGAAGGAACCAACTCTGTGAACAGGGGAGAGGAAAAAAAGTTATACCAGCCTTGTATCTTTATTTAAATAAAGACATAGAAATCCATTAGCAATTGCTAAATATAGATAAATGATGATGGAAACTACCAAATTAATTCACAATAAACAACTAGTTGTTAACAATATGATGCTATTGAACACGCTGTCCCTAACTTGTCTTGGAGATCCATAGGTTTTACTCCAAGTAAGCTTTTCTCTGCAGTCCAAGTTTGAAGAGAAGATGCATTTTAGCATCTTGCTTATCACAGAACACCAGACATAATTTTTGCTAACTCCATTAACACATTTATTATTGTTTTTGAATGTGAATTTGGAGTTGAAGAATATTATCATTACTACTAGTCTAGGAGCCTTGTCTTCTGCTCCCATTACTTGGTCCACCTCCTGCCCCTGAAGCAGAACTGACATCGTTCTAATTTGATATTGCTTTAATTTTTGCTTCACCATTTCAAGGTTATCATATTAATCAATTTCAGCTCACATGAATAAACTATATGTGACTGTGTACATAACTATTACATACACATTGTTATGCTTATTAACCTCCTAGAGAATCAGAAAACCAAACAAATTCTGCTTATTTTCTACACAAACACACAGTGTTTGTGCAAACACTTCCATTTTAAGGGTATGTTTCCGTTGATATTTGATTGAAAAAGCATACTGACTGTGAATTAAAACCATGATATAATAAGTAACTTTAGGACCAACACCAATGTTCGTACTAAACATTGAGAGTGTTTATATTTCTTGTTTACAAAACTTGAAAGAGCAACATTAGGAGGTTAAACACTACTCTCCTGGCAGCATAAAACATTAGCATGTTTTCCTTCCTCATATACTGTCTTTATACTCCAGACTTCCCTACCAGTGGTAAAAAATGGGGAACATTTATCTTAAATCTGGGCTTGGAAAAGTGAGTTTAAAGGGAATATGCTCTGTCTGGTTACTTTCCATATAGGTTTAAAAGAAATTGACCAAGCTTCTCTCCAAACCCTCAGCTCTGAGGACAGATCCCTACATGCTCCACCATTGAAAACATCCCAACAAGGCAGGTACTTCAGATGCAGACACCCAAGTCTTTTAATTTTTAAGAGAGGGAAAGGAGCAAATTCACTGAGTTTAATTCCAAACTTCAAACACAGCCCAGCAATCAAATCAAATACAATCTGACATGCTACAATTAAGGCAAATATTCCTACTATATTCCTATTCCTCTATAGAAAGGGACATGAAGCATTCAATTAACTTAAAGTCATTAGCACGGTTTTTAATCAACTTCCAAAATCTACACCCGTCTCTGTATTATAAAGTATTTTTTCAAATGTCAATTGTGCAGCTTGGTGAGTCAACGCTTGTTTTAAAAATAAAGATATTTATGGAGCTATATATAGATAAAAAGAGACTTAAGCTGCAAACTAGCCTGACTGGTGGCTGTCTGAAAACAAGCAGTATGAACAGTTGGCAGCTATTAGACATTCTGGCCAGCAGACGGTATCACAAATCCTATAAACCTTGGGTCAAAAAAACAGGAGAGCCTTCTAGCTTTGTCACCTCAACACCATAACTGAAATATCATATACTTGAAGCTATTGGGTGACTTAGCTGTAATATAATAGCCTGAAATATTCTAGAAGCAGTTGCTTCATCTTTCGCCAGCTCACACCCATTGACCAACTTATTTTCTCACAACGTTACCCTACCTCAGGCTCCTAAGTATTATTTGGGTGTGGTTTAGAACAAGAGAAAGTTAATTCCAAAAACAGGAAAAGAAAAAATAGATTCAAAATAAAACACACTTCCCCTCTTCCTATCCCTCATCTCACCCTCCAAAGCCCACAGACCTCTCATGATCGCTAGCATGACTTTTAATTTCACTTCTGAAATACTGACGCTATTCTGCATTGACAAATGCTTTGCTTGCACACAGTGCTGTGAAGTCCCAGCTCACATTCAAGACTCTTAAATGCAGGAAAACACAATTTCTTTCTTTATACACAAAACATGCAAGCTAAAGCATTGCCACTACAAGACATGCTCTTCCCCATGGCATTATAGAACACGCTGCCTCTTTTTCTTTCAGCTCTCAGAAAAGACAACATTTCCAAGCAAGCACTATCTTGGTAATTCTCTTCCCATCAGAGCAAGGGCGAGCATTTCGCTTGCTTTTTCCTTTAGCTTTTTGCCTGTCTGGGTTTTGACTAGGGCTCCCCAGGGTCAGGTATGTACTGCGAGCATTTTATAATGCCTCGCACAGCGCGTTGATGGAACCGTATGCAAAATTAAAAGAGTCACCCAAAACTTCACAGTATTTTAACTTTTTGGATAAGCAATCTATTCCAGAATAGTTACGTTGTGTATATATATAACAGCCATCAATGAGATGACCAACTCCTCGATTTTCTTTCTACATTTGCTTTTCTACACTCAACACACCCCCAAAACCTGCCACTTTCCCTGGCCCAAAGGCGCTCCGAGAGCCGCGGCCCCGCACCGGCGATGGCGAGAGGGGCTTCGCGCTCCCTCCGAGGGGAGGATGAAGGGACTGCCACCCTCACAGCCCGTGTTCTCGGTGTCTGGCCCCAGGACCCACCGGGGGAGGCTCTCCCCTCGCTGCCGCCCCGGCCCTGGGCACACCACGGCAGCCGGAGCCGCTCCCCGGCCCCCTGACTCTTCCCGCTCCCCCACAGGCTTCGCCCTTGCTCCACTCCCAGCCGCCACCACGGCTCCGCTCCGGCCCACTGAGGGGGCGCCGCTCACCCTTGGTGACCCTCTTGGCCTCCTTGTAGCGCGACCACAGGTAGCTCTTCATGTCGGGCGACGGCTGCTGCTGCTGCTGCGGGGCCACGGTGCAGAGCGGAGCGGCGCCCGCGGCGGGCAGGACGCGGCCCCGCCGCCCGCCCGCGCCCGCCCTGCCCGCCGCCAGCAGCGCCCGCGCCGCCACCGCTGCCATGCTCCGCGCTCAGCCCCGCCGAGCCGCTCCACCGCCGCCGCCGGCTGAAGTCACTTCCTTGGGCCCCGCCCCGGGCCGGGAGGCGGGATCGGGCCCGCAGGTAGCGGCGGGAGGCCGGGCTTGGCTGGGCTACGGTGCCCTGAAGCGGTGCCTGAGGAGCGGAGGGCAGGCGCTGCGGCCCCGCGGGCTCAGCCGGTGTGGCCGGGCCCCGGCGCCCTGAAACGGTGCCCGAGGAGGGAGCGCAGGCGCTGCGGCCCCGCGGGCTCTGCCGTTGTGGCCGGGCAGTGCGTGTCCCATCTGCCGTCCCGAGGAGGGAAAGCAGCGTCCTGCCATCCACAGGCATGGGCAGCGTTTAATGTGCGCTGCTGAGCCAGGCCAAGGAGAGCTGCAAACCCTGACATCTTGGCTCTGCTGCTCCTCAGGGCTCTGCTGCCCTCGGAGCTGCCTGGGATTCTTTCACCACAAACACCGCATCAACAGCAAGTATTTACTTTTCCGAAGTACTATATACACCTGCTTACATCTATAACAAAACAAGCTCAAAACACAAGCTGCAAGTAAAATACACAAACACAGTTCTGGTGTTCTTTTGAAGCCCTCATGGCCCTGTGAAGCACTGGCCACTGATAGCTCTAGGACCTGGCAGTCTGAATTTGAGCCATATCTACTATGCTTGGAGAAAAAATAAAAATTAGATGATGCACAGATGAAGAACCAGACCACTGCCACAATGAACTGGTTTTAACTCCATGTGCAGAATTCCTGGTGTGCTCAAAAACATTTTACAACAAAAGGAACATATGCTTTTTCCAGTACAGTAAACATTGAATACAATTTGTTCTTATTTCAAAGAGATCCAAAGAGTTCTACATTACCCATTGTGACTTAGGTCTGGAAGTTAGCCATTCGTCCCCATCCATCTCAAGAAAGAAAGCAATCCTATACAAATCTGAAGGATGTCAGACAAAAATACTACTTTTTTTTTTAACAAAAAATGACTCTCACCTTTCACAGGTGAGAGGTTTTTTTACAGGCAAAACCACAACAAACTGAAAGAAAAATAAAAAAAAATCAACTTTAGATTTCAAAGTCTCTGTCAGTAGCTATGTGTTCTGTACTTCCAGCCAAGGCTGAGTTCCTGACTGACAGTACAATTATTACAATTGAGATTGCCAAAAGTCTGAAATGCTTAGGGTTTCCCAGGCTTGGTTATTGGTGGAGACTAGACACAGCTTTTAAAGTTCCTACATTATCCTTTATGTTAATTGTCATTTCAGTATGTGATTCTGGTAAGCATCACTACAAATCCATCACAATAAATTCTGGGAACACGGAGAGAACAAGATTGCCAATATTTAGAAAACAGAAGTGAGATGAAAAACAACATCCTAGACAACTACTGATCTGTTACTTGCCTTCTTTGCTGTTCCTAATGTGAGAATATTTTTGCAGCAAACCAAATGAAAACTCCCATTTAACTTTCAGCATCAGATTTTCCATGTACAACTACAAAAAAACCCCAAAACAATTAAGTCATGTATGAAATTACAGGACTTGGTAAAACTAATTTTGAATTTATGACATACTTCTAGAGTATTGTAGGTGTTCCTGTCAGCCCAGCTCTTTATCACCTTCCACAAAAAAAAAACCTGTAATAACTGGGCAGCTTTTTAAATCCAGCCTATGTGTTAATTATTCCCACATGCAATTCAGTTGAAATTAATAGAAAAAGTCTCATTGTTGTTCTTGTGAGCACAGCTTAGCCTGTTCTCCAAGTCCTAAGACTATAACTATTGTGAACAATAACCACTTTGGTAGGTGAGGCATTCTCAAGGAGGAATTACAAGAACTCTGAATAATACAAGCAGTAGTAGTAATGAAGAAGATATTTCCAGCAGTCAATGTGTTGACAAAGGTGTTGTTTGTTGTCCCATATGCAGTGAGAGGATACTGCAGAGACAGGGATTTATGTTCTCTCACTGTGATACCAGTATTAAGGTTAGAAAAGTCTAATAGAAGTCTGGAAAAAGAGTAGAGTGTTCTGTAGCGCTCAGTCATCGCTCAAAACCTCAAGGCTTTAAATCTTCACATTAATTTCTTGTTTATATTATCAGACTAGAATGTGAATACTTCTATTTCGTCTGCAAGAACCTGAGATGTGCAAACTATTATTAGTGGTAGAAACCCCATCTTTCCTTCAGACAGTTGAGGTCCCCAGATAACCAGGGCTAACCAATAAAAAAATCATTCTCCCTACATATCAGACATGTTTTTCTAAGGCCTGATGTATGCAATACAAATTGAAGGAAAAGTTTTTTTCTATACGTAATTCTGTTAGCTAAGACAACTTCCATGGGGTGTTTTACCAGCAAGTTATTCTCACAAATCAAACTAATCCCTAAGTGTTAGCACTGAGACTAGAGACAGAACTAAAACATGAGGTAATGCTGTTTAAAAATAAGTTGTTAAACAACTCAACTTCAGACAACTCTGTTCTTTCCTGTGTCTGCTGGTCTCCAAGTAATGACTCAAATACTGGAAAATATGTGATAATGTAAACTGGTATGAAGGAGCACACGTGGAAATTAATTTGTCTTTATTTGGGGTCCACATCACTCCTTCCAATACTTAATTTAACCAGCAGAAAACATGCAGAAGTAAAGAATGTCAATTTCAAGAACTTTTCTAAAATGGCACTTAATATGAAATATGATCCTGCAGGCTAATTAAATACCTCTTAATCAGATCAGTTTGAGTGATCCTAGAGATGACTGTGCTGACACAATGCACAAGAGAACCCAGACTCTCCCTTGTTTTATTGCCAGCATTGACCACACCTGTGAAATGAAAGGTGTTTGGGTAGGTCTGACAAAAAAATAAAAAGAAAAATAGAAAACCCCATACCCAGCACAAAGAGTTTCACAGAAGAATTACCCCCCAAGGAAGACCCTCAGAGGGCTGTCTTACAGAACAAGAAAGTGCATAGGCCTAAAAGGAAAATGGCATGAGTTTTGTTATGTACATACCACATAAGCTGATTTATATCTGGTATCCCACTACTATTTGTGGCCTGTAGAATTAACTGGGACTTCGGTGAGGATAATAAACATTATTTCTTTCAAGCTAAAGAGAATACTTACAAACGGTTTCTCTTTTGACTGAATTTTGTGGTCAGGAGTAATTCAGAGAGAGGACACAGTATCCCCATTGACAAACAGCAGCTCTTGTAGCTCTTCTGAAGGCTCAGGACACAGAAATCATGTGATCATACATAAAACACCTCCGAGATCCTGTTAAGTGTTTCATGTGTATTATGGATGACAGCTCAGACACCTCATCTAATTTCCCGGGTTTGAAAGTTTTGTTGACACAGGGAAAACACACCAACCTCCCTGCAGCCTGCTCAGCCCTGCCATCTCCTCCCCACATCTGAGAGCACTCAACGCCTCAAACCACTTGGCCAATAAAGACACTCCTGCACTTCAGGCACTGAGTGATGGATTTCTGATCAGCTGGTGCAGCCTTCAACTCAAGCCCCTGCCTAGGCTAAGAGATACTGCAATTCATTAAAGCACCATTAAATGAAATTAAAATGCAGTGCTAGGAAAGCTGACAATGTCTTACTGCAGCTTCTGTGGTGCAGCATTCCAAACAGAATGGCTTCATAAGCAATAAAAGCATTTGACAGATTCTGTCAGACAGTTGTTTATCACAGAGGTGAATGACCTTGGACTGACAGAGAATTGGCAAAGGCAGCACAGAAACAGCCTCCTGTGGAAGAATAAAGAAGGAAAGAACAGTCTCTTACCACCTTAAAAGAATCTGCAGAATGTTATTTTCCTTTTCTTTATTATATTTCCCGCTAATGTAAACTTTCCTAAATGTGTTTGCAAAAATTATTTTGCTTTTTTACAGAACCATCAGATGCTATTAACCCAAGACTTCTTGGAAACCACACCCTTTTATAGTCCCTTTAGCCAGAGTACCTCTCCCACTAAGAAATGTTTTCATATGAAAATTTTTGCCTCTGTTTTTATCCTGACATGCTTTTCATTTTGGTATTGATACCTAAAAATAAGTGGAATTGTGTTCCTGTGTACCTATTTGGTTAAACTTTTTTTGTCTGAGCTACTTAATTGCTTTCTTTGCTTCTACTCCAATAAGACATAATTTGAAATTAATTTGCCACATCTGATGCAGAAAAGAGAGACTGTAAGTACACACCAGCCAAGTATATTAATACATGGTTAAAATGAGAGCAGAGAAATAAAGCAACTGAAATCAGAAACATTGGTGTCTGCACTGTTCCTCTCAAACTTCAGTATAAAGCAGATCTGAACACCTTCAGTGTTACACTTCTACAACACAGCTGGGTCAAGAAGATTCTGACTTTTATTTCTGCCCAGTGAGCATTTTTCAGCTGTCCTTCCTCCCAGAAGAGAATGTTTAATCCAAACAAGTTAGGAGATTTCCTGGTAACTGAAGTGACACAATTTTACTAGCCAGGCACCCTGGAGTGTGAATTCTTGTACATTATTCCATCCACTACAGGCATCCTAAAAACTTGCCAAAACTCTCAATATATTGTAACAGAATTTCAAATAGCACACAGTTTGTACAGACTTTAAAAAAAATCCCCAAAACACAAACCACAACCAACAGACAAATCCAGTAATAACACAGAATAATCTGAATTGAAAGGTACAAAAAAAATCATCAAATCCAGTTCTTAAGTGAAGGGCCCATCCAGGGACCAATATCAAGCAATCCTAAATAAATAGGGATGCAAGTCTGGTAACTGCTTTTGCCCTACTTCCTCACTTTGCAGCCTAAAAGTGTATTGAGAAGATTAAGTGGCAATTAAAAAAAATAAACACCACACCACCTTTCTTTTCACATGAGATATGCTTTAAACTGTAGATTCATATAGAAGCAAACTTAGCAAAGGAGTTAGAAGCCCATCATTATTCTCTGTTAATACAGAGAATTACAGCACAGGCT